CGCCGCGCTGCCCGCGAATATGTCCTGCGCTAGGGACTGCATCAGGTGCCCGTCTATTGACAGGACCGACAGGTTGCCCAGTATCTGCAAATGTACATATACATCCCGACTCCTTACCGCATTAGGTATTTAAACGCTACTACCGTTTCTATTCTATTCAATTATGAAGAACATCATAATTTAAACATACCCTAAATGCTTCCTTAGGGAAGGTATCTATTTGTGTATTGAGCATGTAGAGCTCCTGCAGGGTGGTGTTGACACCCATGAAGAAAGCCTCGTCGACCGCGCGCAGCGGCGTGTCCACCACGTGCAGCACGCGCACGCGCACCCGCTGCAACAGCGCACCAAATAGCCTGCCTACAACCATTACCCATTGATTATAACTTCATTCATGCAGAAAAAAATAGGTAAGCAGTTATGTTGAATTAAACAGTTAATAAACAATTGTTATGTAAGTGTTGCACTAACCTATTTTGCATTCTCTGAGCTCCAGTCTTTCTATTGGCAAGCCAAGACCTGCAATGTTGCCAAGGCCCACACTGAGCACCGCCAGCCCAACATTCTCACAGCGTACATGTAGCCCTGCATCCGTTCCATTCTCACAGGTGCATGGGTACAGTAACTGTGTTTGAGCATCTTTAGGACATGGATATGCAGGCCCCGGAGGTATATACTCTGCGCTAATCAAGCAGACTGGTGCTGCGATGAACACGCAGAGCCACCAGTGCTTCATGTTCATGATGGAGAACCGCTCTGTAAATGTTAGTGGTAATCAAATTTAAAAACAGAAATTTAATAAGCTGTTAGCTATGGTGTATATGTTAATTAAAAATCCCACCAGAAACATAACTATTACCAGGATAAAAAGTAGCCTATGTGTTCTTCCAGACTACGCTGTAAACCTGTGTCAAATTTCATGAAGATCCGTTCAGCTGTTTAGGCTACAAACGCTAACAAACATCCATCCATCCATCTAAACTTTCTCATTTATAATATTAGTAAGATTGAAAAAATATTTATTATGATATAAAAACTACTACAAAATTATACTAGTGGTAAAATGAAGTTTTTGTATATAAAGACACTAAAATATTTGTGTGGAGCAGTAGAACAGTTAGTGAAAATAACATTTAATTAAATAACTTTAGTATGTCACCATGGTGCAAGTAAAAGTGTTTTGTGTAAAATCTCAATTATGATGAAGTTAAAATGCTTTTAAATAAGATTAAAGGTTTGTATGAAACAAATCTTATAGGAAAGGAAGTATAAATGAACAGAAAAGCAATAACAAGGTCAGAAGAACTCGTTTAACATGTTTCAATAACGTAATTTGAAAAAAGTTTAATCATAATTTGAATTACTAAATACATCTGTAGCCTTCGACTACCATTACCGTCTAATAATCGTCCTTGTCGAAGTTCTGACAAAGCGTGAGTAACTTAATTGCAAATCCAGTACACTTTCACCACGATTCATTGCTTTGTCCCATATTTACCTGTAAATATTCATTGGTCAATCAATAACAAAAGCAAATCCTTCAACTTTCTATTGAATCATAATCGTTTTTGACTAGGAAATTGGGACTATTACTGTAATATTTTAAAGTACACAACCTATCCCCCGGTTACCCTCCATCAGTAACATGAAACATGAATTAATTAAATTAAAAAAATACTATGAAGTGAAGACAAATTATGAAAATAATAAAACTGACATTTGACATTGACATTTGAATTGACAAATTTATACAGACTGTATCTAGATTTTACAGGACTTTTTGATACAGACAACACTTATTTTAACAAGTGTGGCTAGAAGTGAAACTAAATTGTATACAACAGCTCATTAGCGCCTTTAAAATATCATACCAATGACTGAAAATCGGTCCGTATGCCCTGAGGGTCAGTGACTACTGATCAGTAAATCTATGGGAGGTGGGGGGTCCAAGGTGTTGTTATGTCATGCTTGTTGAATTGATATGCTTAAGAATTTACCCTACCTACGCCTAAACTTAGCAAATTTGAATAAAAGCAGTTGGTTTATATCGTCATATTTTTAGCCAAGGTATAAATAGTCTTCTGTAATAGTGTTTATAGTCTTAAAAAAGTTCAAAATGATACACAGACACTGACATAAAAAAACTTCTTTTGTTTTTACCGTCAAATGCAATAATCTTACATATTGAATTCACACTATAAGTGCATTTTAGAAACTATTTATTTATTCAAATTAGTTGCTGTATTCAAACAAAAGTTGATATTTTCTAACAATGGGTGACCGACAAAAGAGGAGTAAAAATGACCAACCGGATTGTACGAAACTGGCTCAGGCACAAATGTTCGTGCAAGAGGATGATTCAGTTGGCTTTAACTGGATAGAAATTCTATGCTACCCATACATTGTTTGCGGTAAGGCGTGGGAGTTCTGCGTGCGGATATGCGCCGGAACCAACGCTTGCATGGTATGCTGGCTCATCATGCAGTGGATTATGTGCAAGATATCTGCCTACGGAGCTTCCGATCCTGTCTTGTTTCCTTATTATTTTTACATTTTCTGGCAAGTCATCTTGATGACTCTTTTATTTGCGTGCCTTTGGTTCTTCTTTGGCAAACCAGTCGTTTATCCATATTTGTTGGCGGTGTACAACACTTTGACGGAGGATTATAAAGATAACGGTACCAGGCGTATGGCCTTAAGGAGATATTGTTTTAAGAAAAGTGACATCTTCGGTACCAGCGTGGAGAGCGGCAGCGCTTCGCTGAATGTAGATCTCTACGCACACACAGCTTCTGCTGCTATATATTTACTTGTGTATAATGTTTTAAAATAATACACAAGTATTCATCGTGAAATATAAATCTTTTTCATTTTCATCCCTAATTTACATTTAATATAAGAAGTCATGTGTTGTTTTGCGTCTTACGCCTTGCTTAGTTTTTTGTGTGGTTCTTCAAATTCTATATGTATTTCATATTTACTTTAACAGTCTGTGGTTTACCATAGAGTATATATTTTTTTCTTTTTTTATTCTCTGGTGGTTCATTCATTGTGGTTGTCAGTTGTCTGTCAGTCGGTTGGGTCAAAAATGGTTCTATAAAACATGAACAAGTTAATGTTATAGAGTGTGTCAAAACAATTTAGTTTCACAATTCCTTACTTTTGAGGATTTGTTTGCACGCGCCCATAATACTGTTTCTGAGATTTTTTATAAAATCAGCATATATCTGTCTACTGGTGAGTAAGTTTATTTTTTACGTAATTGAAATATGTAAAATTTTGAAAACATTGGTCCATTTACTATTGTTTACATTTAAAAATTGTAAATATATTAGAGGTAATCTTCTTCAAATAAAACAAAATATTTGGCGGTTAAAATCAGAGATTCAGGGATTTCTAAAGTGATATGTATTCATTCAATGCAAGTAATGTGCATGTGATTAGACGCGTGATTGAAAATACGGCAATGTTTGGTCCGGAATTACATTTCCCGATGGTATAGTCGCATTCAGTGGATCGCTTTCACACGACGGCCGAGGGCAGCTGACCGGGGCCCGCGGCTCGCGGCGGCCTACTCTCTCTTGAGTCGTGACCTTCATATTTTGGCATACTTTTGTATTTACGCCATCCTATTGAATACTAACGATTTAACTATATGAATATACACACATCATTTTATATCTCATGACTAAAGTGAAATTGATGGCCATTTTATGTGGTGTTGACCTGGATATTTTGCTTGACAATGTTATAAGCATTTCATTAAATAAGTAATCAACTTTCTCTAATTAATATTGAATTATTAAAATATATTTCATATGTCTGGACTGTAAAGTTGTCTTTATCTTGTCATCCATGAACTGTTTTTTTTTAATTATTGAGTATAACTATTTTTAACATATTTACTACAGCTATATAGAATATGGAAATAGATAATGTTATCAGAGGGTCAGTTGGCTATGACAATATTTATGTAGGATAAATTTTGATAATTCTAATCACTGCCGGATCCCTTGCCACCTCAAGTTCACTTATTACTACTGTAACAGCTTAATTATAAAACAAATCTTGGACACTTTGCTTCATAAGCGCTGCTTAAAATCTATTATATAACACTTAAAGAAATTTGAAGTGTTTCCTTTTCATTTAAGGCATTTTTGTTGTTTCAATGTTTAACTGTAATTTAATAAATCATGCATTTTATATCCAAATGATATTAGGTTATTTTTTAAATCTAGTTATCATATTAAACTCTGTTATGATAATGGTAATTTCTACTGACCTACTATCCTAGTTGTCATGGCAAGTAGTGGAGGTCTCTACCAATGCCTATCTCGAATAGAACATAATCTGTGAGTTTGAGAAGTCACATTTGTATTAAAATATATTCATAACTCTTATGGATATCAATATAGCTTTTGCCTGCGCCCTTGTCTATGCCGAATAAACAGTCTTCTAATTAACCTAGGCTAGTATCTTCCGGACTATGTTCTGTGTCAGCATCAATTGTCACACAGTTCTATTCAATCATTTTAGAGGTCTGTTTTAGAGACAGATCCATCCATCCATACTTCCAGACTTTCACATTTATAATTGTTATGATGAGTGTGTACAGTAAAAATCTATTGTTAAAATGTTTTCACCTAAAATAAGTAAGAAATACTTTTCATTATTTTAAATAGTAGCATCTGAGGAATAAAAGAGGTACTTGGTTTATATATAAATAAAAAATTCTCCTAATCTTCTGAGTCATTGCCACATTTGTACATATAGAACAGTTAATGTATTCCTTTTTTGTTTTTTATTGTCAGCAGTTGAGACGAACAATTAAATTCAATGTTTATGGACACAGGACAAACTTTGATGATCAGCTAGTTTTTTTTAATATTTGTAGCAGTAGAACATTGTCCATATTAATTAAGCGCTAATAGCCTAATGGTTAGGGGTATGCATTTCCGATCACATGGTCTAGGATCCGAATGCCGCCATTCGACTATTGTCGTAGACCATATCTTATCACAAGTCTAGAGCTTAGTTGGAATGCTAAAAGAAAGTAAATCAACAAAAATCTATTGATATTTTTTTTTCATTAAGATATTGTTACTTTCTTATTCACAAAAAGAAAAAAGAGTTCGCTGCCGCGTCAATGGACGGCTTTGATGACGCCTACCACCCACGTCATTGACATCGTCACCCGTCACGTGTTATTGCCAATTTTACAATTATAAGGCGTATCGACGAGGGATGCCTAATATGCGTTAGAAATTGTAATACAACAATGAATTATAATTGGTCACGTCACGGTTAAATTGATCTGACGTCGGATCAGGCGTTTTTAATTAGGAACTGACCAACGTGGACATTTCCCAATTATAAAACCTAGTGACTTGACCCATATCTGCACTTGTGTACACTACTGTATGTCACTTGTGTTCAGCACCGCTTCTCAAACACGGGTGCACAATAGATATCCATCATAGTCGATATACACCTCTTTTAGTTACAGTTCAAGTAGTCATAAGTAATGTCGGGCGCGACGGGAATTCGCGACAGTCGTTTACGTGCACATGTCGATTGTGCGTAACCAGTAACTCTGAAGTTTATGCCCTACAGATCAGGAAACGGTTGGTATGGGTGAAGCAAATAAATGAATCTACTTTGCTCAATTTGTACCTACAGAAAGGTATGGTTTGCGTGAGTTGCCAGTCACCGGACATCTCGACAGCTACCCGCGCACGCACGCATTAAGCTATGAGCTGCTAATTTAGTTGTTGAGCCGCAGATCAACAGTTTCAGGCGTTGTGAGCTGATGTTTTGAACCGGGTTAGAACTGATTTACACACATCTATTTGTGCGTAATGATTACGGGCGCATACGCCGGGCTACTCCATTATAAAACACACGTATACACGTGCTTGTAGCAAACAAGCTGCTTCGTATACAGCATGCCACTGCGCTCGCTATAGTTATTGTACATACGAATTTTGTACCAAATGTAAAAATCTTTCATGAAAAATAATAAACCTTTATAAAGTAATTGTTTAATCGATAAAGAGCGTCGAGTCGACCACTTTCTTTCACTCAAAAATCCCTGTTGCCGTCCTCGACCCTCACATCGAAACATAACACGTATTGTTTGACGATATGAGTTATTCAAACACGGCCTTGATAATTATTTGAGTATATATGTAAATCTTGTTGAACTAACGCCGCGTTGTAGAATGTTCTGTCCTCGGCGATATTACCAAACCGCTGCGACTTGGGTGCCACAAGCGAGCGTATCACCTTCTCTAAGGCATCGCCTCTGATAATGAATCTGCAGTTACTTTATTGCTGATGTTCATAGACCTTAATGATCACCTCGATGTTCCCGCTGGATTGCCTCTCTTTGTTTATAAAAAAAATATATAAAATGCATTCTCTGTTACAAAATCCTTCCAAACTATCAGATAAACTACACAGGCAAGGCGTACACGCAATGTTACATTATTCAGACGATTGTAAATTTATACGAGTAAATGGTATATTAAATAATTTTATTTACATTACGCCACTACATTTTATTGCTGCAATATTTATTAAAATAAAAACTGCTTAGTGTATTTACCTGGAGAGATTTGTTGTTTCAACGATATATATTTGCTATTTCATTGCAGTAGGTGAAATGGATATATGTTTTTGTTTTACACAAGTGGTGCAGACATTGAAGGACCCAGGCAA